TATAGATATCTTGTATCTTTTACTTGTCAAAACTTTAAACACGTTTTTCTCAAAACTGTACTTTTTTGCACTGCTGGAACTCTCATTTAAAAACTATTCAACCGATCGCGCTGAACTTTCGCACACAACTTCATGACATCAGTACAATGTCGGTGAACCTAAATGTTTGTGAAAATTATAATAAAAAATCACTTATTTATTGCAAAAATTGTGCAGAGAAAACGTCAAAAAATGGAAATTTATTTTCATAAGCGTTTCATATTCAAAATTTTTGACTTTTTTCAATTTTTTTAGGTTCAATTACGAATTATGGGTATAAATAATAAGAATTTTTTCGCTGCCTGTTATAGGATCAATATCACGGACGCCATTTGTCCAGCAGCTGAGCAACTCGCACGCGTATCTGCCAAATGGGATGCTTCATATGTCCGCCATTTTTAAATATTTTTGGAAAAAAAAATACGTATGGACAGTCCAAAACATATATAAATAAATGTTTAAGTTTGAAAAATATAGAAAAATTCTTTCTCCTATAAAAAAATTCTTGAAAATAGCTTATTTTTCCTCGTTCTAATTGGATTTCCCCCCTTAACCACTTTTCTTGTGGTAGGAGCAGACTTTCTTGTTATCATAGCAAGAAAATAAGTTCCTGCGGCAAAAAAAAGTAGCTAGCATAGTGAATTACATTTAACTGTCCATATATAGCAAATTAGTTTGCTGCAACCAGTTATTTTTTTCCGTGTATCATCTTAAAGAACTTTTTATGCTGATCATTTTAAAATTTGTCCCAACTTGATCCGGTCTATCGTTCCAGAATAAATGGTCAATTTAGTTCCAAAATTTTATGCTCACGGGAGTACCGCACAGATCATCGAGCAATGATTTCCTTACTCAATTTTTCATTTGCATTTTTCTGTATTTAAGAAAAATAAAATTCCACTTGCCAATATTTTTACACGCGTTTAAGCCTGTTTCCAATATATTACATATTCCAAAACCAACCGGAAGTTGATGTTTCAATTGGAATTTTTTACTTCCGGTCACTTTGGAACTTGAAATTAATACCATTAAATTCTTCATTTAATTTAATTAAGTTTAGCATTTTGAATCTTTAAATTCCGTCTAATTTTTGCAAAGAAATGTGAGCATAAAATTTTGAAACTAAATTGGCCATTTATTCTGGAACGCTAGACCGGATCAAGTTGGGACAAATTTTAAAATAATCAGCATAAAAAGTCCTTTAAGATGATATCCATATTGTTGTCCGACTTCACTGGCACGAAAATGGGAGCATGTTGGCCTCTCTCTTTCGACTCGAAGATGGACTCTCTTTTCACGTCGCACGCCCGTTCTTTCGCGATGAAGCCGAACGAACAGCAACGCATCTTGCTGTCTCACGATACGTCGGGTGGATGCGGAAAAACAGCACGGCCGCGGCGCGAAGGGTCGTGAGCGCTAAATTAAATATCGAAGCGAAGTTTCGCGGAGCTGCGAAAATCCGGCGCGTTCTCCGACGGGCTCCAACGTCCGTGAGCTCTCTCGTCCGACCGTCACGCGGAAACGCACGTTCTTCGCGCGCGAGCGAGTTTCCCCACTTTACATAATTAGAACTTCATAGAACGATCCTCGGACGAGACGTCAACGTCACGCGCTGCACCGCCCGATAAATATTCCGCCTCACGAGAGCACAGGAAAGACTGGGAGAGGAAGACAACGTAACAAAGCGAATCTCTGCCTGCCGGACTGACCGGCTAAATTTCAACGAAAACGGACTTGCGTATCCCGCAGAGACAGCCTAACCTTTTCGATCCCGTTGAGCTACACATGCCCCACAGGAATCTCAACATTTTATCGGGTGGCCTATAAATTAGCATGCGGATTTTTATACAAAATTGAAATGCTTTTTATTCTTGTTAAGAACAATTTTAAACAGTAATATATACATCATTCTGCTCGGCGATTTCTCGCTATCTTTCACGTAATTTCCTAATTCCCCTTTCATAAAACTCTTGTGCTCTTTCCGGTAAAAAAGTGATTTTTCACATGTCCTAAAGAAAAAAGAAAAAAAAAAAAAGTTTATACTGTTAAGAGAATTATGTAAAATTTGATATGTATGATATGTATAAATTTGATATGTAAAATTTGATTTAAAATTAAATAATTTTTTCTTCTAATTTGAATAAATTCATTCCTGAAGACGTTAGTCTCCAAATTTCTTGGAATAAATTATGCACTCAAGAAATAGAATGACAACCAAGCTACTCGAATTCGTGTAATTGTTTTCCCACTCTGAATCGTCGAGTAAACATTTTCATTTGAAATTCAAGACTGAACCTGATCTATCCCATCATCACAGGAACAATTTCATTCTAATTTCATTCTGAATCGTCGAGTGAATACTCACTCGAAGTTAAAGACTGAATCAGAGTTCACAGGAACAATTTCGTTTCAATCAATTGAAACATTCATTCGTACGGAGTCAGAATTCATTCTACACACAAAAAATATCATTCTACTGCTAAGAAAAAAAATCACTTATTTTCCTTCTTTTAAGTAACGCTTACCTTCAACGCTTACCTTTAAAGAATATATTTTCCTAATGAGAATCTTCAAATATGCTCATTACAAATTTAAGGAAAACTCATTATGTACTCAAAAGAAGAATTTATTCTCTTTATAAGGATATCAGTCTGAGCTATTCGCCCTTGCTCGAGCTTCTTATATCTAAAACATATAAACTTAAATCACAAAGTATCAAGGGAATGAAATCAAGGAGAGAGGGTAGGATGTCCATGTTTCAAGTAGCCTATATTTTCCGCAGGACCTAGAAAGTAACTACGCAACATTTGGTTCATATTGGTCAAAGGTTTTAAGAATTAATACAGTATATAGACTGTAAAACTTTATCGAAGTAAAAGTCGACTCTATGCAGTAAGTAAAGCGAATTTTTTATTTAATTTAATATTCCCTATTGAAATGCTAAACCTACCAGAATTCAGGACGTATTTTAAATAAGTCTGACGCCAGAAACTTACGAAATACTTGAAGCAAGTAACATTTACTTGAGTGCAGTATGCATTTTTCTGTGTGTAAGCTTAAGTGAAACACTCACTCCTGCGACTTGGAATACTTCACTGTCGCTTCAAGTGAATTTCCACTAGCTTCATCCTACGTGCATATAACATGTACATATCTAAAATTCCTCAGAAAAAACCGGGAGGGCTAACCCGTGGTGCTACTACCCACATTACACTACTCAAGATAGCGTATGTTTACGCGAAGTGCATTCGAGAGTAATTCTCGCAATTGCTCTTTCGGGGTGGTAACGCGATCCCGCGGCGAGCACCTTCGGTTTCGCGCGCTCTCCATCCTCTTTCACTCTCGCTTCTTCGCTTCCGCGCGCGAATTCCATGAAAGTTTTATAAAACGACGCGAGAGTCGCTCGTGTGGAACTGAATCGGCGGCAAAGGCGGAGGCGGAGAACGCGGACATAATGGAGGAGAATTTGTATCCTATCGGCGATCTGCGAGGAACTTTGACGAGTATCTCGCGAGACGGGTGGCATGTCAAAACGCGAATTATTCATAGGCGTTCCCTAATGCAATCGATACTCTGCCCGATTCGTGTCGCTTTCGGCTTACAGCCGACGGAGGAAAAGTCAGCCGACCGACCTCGCGCCAAAATCGAACACGCGGACGCAAATACGCGCGCCGGCTATCGATTGCAAAAGTTCCTCCCACCGGTGTAACGCTGAAGGGAAGACGAAATTGCCAAGGCTGATAACGTTGTAATCGTTCCTGGTTAATATTAACCCTGGGCTAAAGGATCGACGACAACTCGACGATGCGGAATCGTGTTCTTGGGAAGGATGAACTGCATGCGATCTCTTCATCTGCACGAAATTGCTCACCCTCCCCCTCCCTCACGCCCATTACCACGAAGAATTTAATTATACGATATGTTCACTTTGTAGCTGCACTAACTTACACTGCCTATGCTTAAAATAAAGTAGAATACATGTTCGACATTTATTGAAAGAGAAAAAGAGAGAAAGACAAAAAGATTGAAAGATAATATAAGAAGTGCAATTTTAAGATACCAATTTTGATGCCCGATAAGAATTCGCTATTTTAAGTATCAACTATCAGTACTATGACGTCAGACTATTGAATATCGAGCCTTTTAGCTGTATGTATTGTCTATAACTCTTCCTTTCCCTCTATCAATACACTTATTCCTCTTCCTTTCCTACTTTTTGCGTAGATATCAAAGAATATATTTCGTTGCATTTCTACACAGAATTTTGTAGTAAAAATTACAGTAGTAATTATAAATTATAAATTATAGTAAAAATTGCAGGAGAAATAGAAAACAATATACTAAGGAACAGACCGATATTTTACAACAATTGGAGACTCTGTCCTCTCTTATTTTATACATATTTATATATTAGAAACTAAAATGTGTTATTAAAAAATTTATTATGTTTTTAGACAAATTTACTGCGCTGCCACAAAATAAACCTTCCTGACGATCTATTCCCGTACTATTAGAAACATAATAAAATTGAAAAGAATTTATGCGAAAAAAAACTATAACATTCCCTTCGTATAATTTGTCGAGCAATTTATCGAGCTCTCCTCTTTGTCCTACACTGAAAAAAGATACCTTAAAATTTACTTGTGGGATATAAAGTTTATTTCTGTGAAATAGACTTTTATCCCATCAACGAATCTTCAAGTATTTTTTTCTCAATGTATTTTCCATTACGTTACTTAATATTATTCTTGTCCGTCTCAACCTCGATTTCGACTTTGATTTTTGCATTCATAACAATCAAATTTGCATTGGGCCGGCATTCTTGCTGATGCCTCGCCTTTTGCCTGCGTATGTTAGCTTGTTTCTTTTTCTTACGTAAATAATAATCACACACGTATCACTTCGCACAACATAATAATAATTATTATTCTATCTTATCGAGTTGCCTTCGCGCCTTCCCAAAGCAATCGAATAACGATCACGCGTTTGTTCTCTGAACTTTTAGATCCTATGAAATGTCAAGCAGCCAGGTTATCATACATGGACGACTATATGATTTTTATAAGAGAGCGGGAGAGAAAGAA